TGGGAAGTCGAGGTCAGGCGTCTGCGAAGGATGCGGACAGCAAGTTGGAGATCATTGCACCGGACCCAGATTTGACTGACGAGCAAGAAGAGGTTGTTCAGGAGACGTACATGCAGAAGATAAGCAGTGCATTTGCGTTTGTTCGCAAGTTCTTTGAGAGCATTCTCATCAGTGCCACTTCAAGTTTGAATTCATTGTCCCGTGACTATCGTTTTGTTGCTAAACGGTTGTCTGTAGAGAAAAAATGCCTCAAAAAGGTCATTGAAATTGAGGAGATGAAAGGTAACACGCATGACTTTATTTCCGATCCAGCCTGGCGGAAGTCGGCACTGTCAAAGCTGTCTCGAGTCACCGAAGAAGCCCTGGAGAACTTGGTGAAGTGTAATCCGAAAAAGGCCATCAAACAGTGGAATCAACTTGATACGACTCCAGTTGAAGAGTAAGTTCATTTAAATGTATTTTGCACCATTAACTGTTGTTTCCGTTATCAGGAACAAAAACATCTACTACGCAACGCTAGACCCCAACTACATGAAGACCAGCATTTATGTGCACTTTCTGCAGGCCATCTTTTATGCCATTTTATCGCGTTCCGAAGTGATGTGCTACATTACCATTGTCATCAATCAAATTGCCACTGCCTCTATTCTCTCTCTGCCACTGCCCATGTTTGCCTTTCTCTGGGGGTCACTTTCAGTGCCTAGGCCGTCGAAATCCTTTTGGGTCACTTGCATCACTTACATCGAAGTTGTGGTCGTCAGTAAATACATCTTTCAGTTTGGCTTTTATCCGTGGAACAATGTTCAAAATATTTCTCCATTCTGGTGGCCTCGTTTTCTTGGCATCGAGAAGATGGACAACTATGCCAACTATGACTTGTTACTGTTGTTGGTTCTTTTTTTCCATCGCTTTATGCTAAAGGTATTGTGTTGTTTTTTATTTTTGGGATTTTATTTGTTACTTACACTCTATTTTTGCAGAGTCTTGGCTTGTGGGACATTTCGGAGACTGAAATGAAGGCATACATGACCAACGCCGAACTGATTCAGAGTGAAATTGACAGACAACAAGAAAATGGTAGCGATAAAGGGAAAAAGCTTCGGTCATCAAAAAAGAAGTCAACAAAATCGAAAGGCAAAGCCGTCAAGCCAGCAGATCAGTCAGACTCTAGTGAATTGGTCAGCAGTCGTGATGACAATGACGCTTCAAAAACTGTTTCTTGTACCTCTCAAGAAGTGGACATTTTCAGTGATGAGATCGAGGATGATGAAGATGATGAAAGCGTAAACAGTGACTTTAATGCCATTTTCTTGCTCATGAATGCACCCACAATAATTAAACTAAGGTTCGTATGCAGTAATAGACTGAAGTTTACATTTTTAGTAACTAATCAATGTTTTCAGACTGAAGTCAGTTGTGAAGCCCGTCATAAAGTTCTTTCATAATGTTCTTCATCCACCTTATCGAATCACTCATGATGTTTACTCTCTCATGTTCCTCTGTGACTTTATCAACTTTTTCATTCTCGTTTTCGGCTTTTATGCGTTCGGAGTATGCTTTGAAAAGCATCCGTTTTTTCCAAACAGTATTAACTTTTTTTCTTTTTTTTCAGAGTGGCTACTCAGGCAGTTCGGATGTGGCAAAGTTTTTGGAAGAGAATCGCATTCCAGCGAGCTTTCTTATTACGTTGCTCATTCAATTTGCCCAAATCATAATCGACAGAGCAGTGTACCTGCGCAAGTACATCAAAGGAAAGCTTATCTTTCAGATTATCATTGTCATTTTTACGCATATGTGGCTATTTTTTATTCTGCCTGCAATGACTGAAAAGTGAGTGTGCTCATTGTCAAACGCGCTTGCTTCTTACTGAATCTTTCATTTACTTTTAGATCATTCACGAATAGTACCAATCTTCCTCAAAAATTGTGGTACATTTTCAAGTGCATCTACTTTCTCCTGTCTGCCTACCAAATTCGAAGCGGCTACCCGACACGTATTCTCGGCAATACTTTCTGCAAGAAATACAATTTCGTCAACTGGTACCTCTTCAAAATGTGAGTTTATCATCAAATAACTACCACGTTTTCTAACAATTTGTTTGTTTGTAGGTACATGCTTGTCCCATTCCTTTACGACCTTCGCCTGTACATGGATTGGATATGGACTGACACCAGCTTAGTACTTGATGAGTGGTCGCTGATGGAAGATATCTTTGTCAATCTGTACCAGAGAAAGTGTGAACTGCAATTGGATGAAGAGTTTCCTGAGCCAAGAGGAAAGGCGAAAAAGCGCTTCTTTAAGTACCTCATTGGCGGGTCATGGGTCATTATCATTATTGGTGAGTATTTTTTATTTTAACAGGACATTTTGTAACTAACACAAATGTTGTTTTGGTAGCTCTAATTTGGGGCCCTCTCGGGTTGTTTGCCTTTGGTCGGGCAGTTGGCGACGAGAATCCGCCAATGGGAACCACATTTGAGCTTGAAATAGGAGGCTTTCAGCCACTGTTTAAGATGAGCGTCACTGGAAGTGGTCTGGAGCCGTTGAATGAAAACAAGTGGGAGAAATTGCTGGGAGCGTTCAACAAGAATCCAATAGCGCAAACGTTCATAAACGGCTACGACATGAAGGACATCTACGTGGCCAACTTGAACGGCAACTCCACCGCTGTCTGGGGCATATCTCCACCTAGTCAGAGTATTTTGGAGGAAGAGTTGAGGAAAAATCAAACACTGTCAATAAAGTTGACGTACTCTGTTACGCGAAAAAAGCTGAAAAAGTCACAGGACATGGACACCACCATTTACGACGAGTTAATAGTGGAGTTGAAACCAGGCGAGAACAAAGTACTTCGGGAACAGCTTGCCCAGATGATCGGTAATGGAACTCAGACCGAAGTGACCATTCCCAACATCTTTCCCAACTACCTTCGCGCCCCAGAGAAGGGCATGCTGTCGGTGGTGGGCGAACTGCTGCAGAGAAGCGACTCGGGGGAGACCAACACTACACTGAACTACCGCGACATTAACATCACAATGAAGTCTGGCACCTATGGCACGGAGAGTTCCCGTACCTCCTGGTGGGAGATTCACGACATTTGCAATGACAATCCAACCCTGGACAGCTTTATTGAGAGCCTACTGAAGGGGGACAACAAGTGTCAGTACCTGCCAGTGGTCATCTTCAACGACAAGGTCTTTATCGGTCTGCTGGCCTTTCTCTCTGGCTACGGCATTATCGGTATCTACACTACATTTGTATTCCTCGTCTCGCGCTGGGTGCGTGGCCTCAACTCCGAGTCATCTTTCAAGGTCATCTACACTCGAATGCCCAATGTTGACCGAGTTCTCCAGCTGTGCCTTGACATTTACCTGGTTCGAGAGAGTAGAGGTAATTTACCTGTTATCTAGTTTGCATTTTAAAACACTTCTTCATTGCAGAATTTGAACTTGAAGAAGATCTCTACGCTAAACTAATCTTCCTCTACCGAGATCCGCAACTTCTCATACGATGGACGAGACTGCCTGAGGACATTAGCAATGTCAATCCCGCTGTTCCAAGCGTTTACCAAACTTGAACAAAGTTAGTCAGTTGAATGAAACTCAATTACCTACGAGGCCGTAATGGTCGTCACTTGCCATCACTTGCTCTAGTCAATCTCACCGATCACTGTTTGCCAATATCATGCTGTAAATAATGTTTCCTCCAATTTAAGTATTACAAATTGTTTTTCTTAATTAAAAAACACGAATTATCAATAACAATTGGAATTTTTTGAAGTGAACATTTATTTGATATAGTTCAACTGACTTACGTGGATCTGCTTGCTGCTAAATGTCACTTCAAGTGAATATTAAATCACCCGGTAACAACAACTTAGCATACGTTCAACAGGTTATTGGTCCAAAAGGCTACAAAGTGGAGAAGAAACTGGGAGAAGGCAGTTACGGTGTTGTCTACAAGTGCCTCAACACAAAGACGGGCATAGTTTCCGCAGTCAAGTCAATAGACCTAACCAAGCTGAGTGACAACGCTCGAAACAAGTACCTACCTCGAGAGATTCAAATACTTCAGCAGTGCCGCCATGAAAACCTTATACAAACCTACGAAATATTCCGCACCTCCACTAATTTATTCGTATCTATGCAGTTTGCTGCAAATGGCGACATCAGTGGCTATTCAAAAAAGAACAATGGCATCAAGGAGAACATTGCCTGCAAATGGTTCCTTCAGGCTGCTTCAGGGCTGTACCACCTTCACGCTAAACTTTTCACCGCACACAGAGACATCAAAACGGCGAATATCCTTTTGGACGACACCTTCAAAGCCCTCCTGACTGATTTTGGTAATTTATTGACAAACAACTTTAATGAACTTTGCTAACACTGGTTTGTTGTGAAGGTTTTGCCAAAAAGTCCTACGACCCAGCGAAGAACGCAGTCCTCCTCTCAAAAACGTACTGTGGCACGAAACAGTATGAAAGTCCTCAAATAATTGAGCATCTCGTTTACAATGCTTTTAAATCAGGTTAGTTTTCAATTAACACAGACATTGGATAACTAAAAGTGCTCTTCTTTTGATAAAAATCCCAATCCTGACTAGACATATGGTCAATGGGAATTACATTGTTCTCAATGCTACACAATCGCAAGTATCCATTCGACAGTGATGACAGTAAGACGATGCTGAAGCAGATGTACAAGTACCCGGCACATTTGAAGAGCCGCTTGAAAAAGAATCTCATGAAGAACAAAGAGGCAGTACATTTGTTTGAGATCATGCTCAATCCAAATGAAAAGGAACGCGCTACGGCAAACGACATTTTACAGTGTGGCTGGTTGAAGTGTCAAGCAGCGAAAACGTAGCACACAACACACACAACTTCTAAAATCAAGAAAGTCAATAAAATATTTCGAACAAATAGTTTTTTCATGCTCTTTTGAGTGTTTTTATTGTCCACTGTACGCATATTTCTATTCATAATTTTACCACCAACAAAAATGACAAGCCCAGCCAATGATGAGCCATCATCATCTCCATCAAGCACTAGAGTTACTGATATCGCAGCTCCTGTCCGCTTGTACCTTCACGAGAAACAGTTTGAAATTGGCAAGTTCCTTGCTGGTGGAAGTACCTGTTCAGTGTTCCTGGTTAAAGATGCCACTGGACACAGTTTGGCTGCTAAAGTCATCATCCACAGTAAAGTTCAGCCCAAGTTTCTCAATGAGCTGCTGCCCAATGAGCTGAAGATTGTTCGCCTGTTGAATCACCCGAATGTGCTGAAAACCGAGCACGTCTTCCAGTTACCTGACTTCTCAATCATCATTTCGGAGTACGCTCAAGAAGGCGACCTCCTGCAGGCGCTTCAAAACAGCGAGGAAATCAATCTGACCGTGCATAAGCGCTACTTTGTCGACTGCACAAAAGGACTCGCCTACCTGCACTCTATTGGAATCGGACACCGAGATGTGAAGGCGGACAACGTTCTGCTATTTAGTGGAGGCGAGGCAAAGTTGGCCGACTTTGGCTATGCCGTCTTTCTCTTTGATGCCAAAGGTCAAACCAAGGCCTGCCATCAGTTTTGTGGTACTCCCGAATACGCAGGTTCGTTGTTGCGGGTGATTTTTGCGCAAATTTTTGACTGTTTATGATTTTTGCAGCGCCTGAAATCTTGCACCACATTCCCTATTCTCCAGCGATTTCCGATTGCTTTTCCTTAGGTGAAAATCTGATGTCTAACATGCAGAATGCAAAGATAACACATTTTCTAACCGTCCCTAGGTGTGCTCCTCTATTTACTGGCAACAAGATCTCTTCCTTTTGGCTATGGAGCGGCGATTCGAACTAAAACAGGCATTTTAGCCCAGTGTGAACGCATTTTGAAGCGTCAATGGATAGTGCAAGGGGAAATTGAGCACGATAATCATCTCAAAGAGCTAATCGACAATCTGCTAAGTCCAAATCCAAGAACTCGATTCACTGCAAATCAGGTTCTTACTCACATTTGGATCACTGGTGTCGTAAACACAAACGTTGTTCCTTGATTTGTATCCCAGTGTTCTTCAATAAAATAACGGTAATTTATTGCTGCTGATAATACACGAAAGTTGCTAAGCGGCTTCTAATATCTTGCGAAAGTCAAACCTTTGCAATCATTCGAATAGCAGTTGACAGGCCGACATCGCTGTAGTTCAGGTAGAAAAGGCCGGCAACGGCAGCAATAGACAATAAGTATAGAGCTCCTACTGCAGCTTTCGGTATAACAGGGCCGAAGAGGGCAGGTCGGATGTAATCGACAACGACCGCTTCCAGTCCCCAGTGTATATGAGCCACCAGTGACAAGGCGAGAGCATAATCGAGAGCAGAGCTTTGGCAGACAAACGCAGCCGGAATGACAGCCAATAGGCCCAGGGAAACGGCCTTCTCGACTACCCAAAGCTTGCTGTGATCGTGAGCATTGGATGACAAGGCGCGGGTGATGCTGGTTTTAGCAAGAGATCGAGACGAAGCATTTATCAGGTTCGTTTGGCTGATTGTTTGCAAGTTGCGATAAACTCCGGTGAGCTGGGCTCGTTGACGGCACACTGTAAACATTTGCAAAAGACAGGTTACTATTAAGGGAATAACGGTCATAAAAGATGGATTCTTACCACTCCGAATGGCCAAAGTTCGAAGAAAAATACTCATCTTGAAGCTGATCTTCAGGACTGTGGTTGAAGGTAAATAACAACAAAATGATGTGCTTCAGCTTGTAGGCCTCTTAGTTAGTGGCGCGTGTTTGTTGGTATGGCGTATTCAGGAAAATGTAGCGTTACCAGTTCACAAGGTTCACCTTGGTGTTTTGTAGAGCGCAGATTTAGGGTTGACTAAAAACGTAAAATTGTACCTCTCAGAGTACGCAATAAGGTTAACGCAGTGAGGGTTACAACTTTGCTCGCTTAATTGACCTTAAATTGGCGTTCTGTTTTGACAAAAGGACAGCCTGCCTGAGTTGAAATAAGACGAACGCTACCTAAGTTTTAAAAAACTTGGCGAGTTTCAGAAAAAAAGATTTATCATAGGAAGTTGATAAAGAGTAGTTTTATTTTTAAGCAAACTCACGATCCTTAATAGAGGAGGATTTAAGCAGTGAGTATTGCTGCACAAACTGTTGACATAATCCAGAACTCAGAGACTTCAGCGCTTTCTCATAAAGCGCACCCACTTTTGTCGTGTCAATGGTCATTATGTGGCGAATGTAGTCTAGCCAAACGTAGACATCCTCCTTGCCAAAGTGATGAATGAGGTCCTCATACGCAGAGCTGATTGAATTGCTGAAATCCTCGGTTTTCTCCTCTTGCATCTCTTCGACATGTTTTTCAATCTCAATCATTTTGTAGCTAAAGTTTCGACTAATCGGAGACGTCGTTTTGTTTTTCTGATAATAAGAACGAGCTTTCTTAATGCCAAACTGATGGAAAATGATTGCTAACACTTTTGACTTGAAGTATTCAGACATTTTCCGTGGGGCATAAATTGAAACATCATTAAGTTGAGAGACCATCTTTATAATTTTGGAGTAGGACAACTTGTTTTGCACTGACCAGTCGAGGTACAGCTGCCAAAAGTCCATCATTGCGTCTAGGTTTTCTTCAGTAACTTTGGTGAATTTTCGTGATAAACAATCGTGGAAGAACTTTTCAATTATACTGTCCGATATCTTTTTGTCAGGCAGCTTGACCATGATACAAGCGATAAAGAGGTGAGCATCCAGGTTATCGGGCCACCGTTCAGACGCTTCCTTCAACAAAAGGTGAATTTTCTGAATAATGATCAGCTCTTTTTTGTTGCAAAGATACATCAGCATGATCCATTCGACAAAAATGGAATACGCAACCTTATTCTGCTTCCAAAGCTTGTCAAGAGTGAATATGATTTCGCTCATTTTAAGGATTCGAGAATCAGTGTCGTCAGTATTCTTTAAATCTTCGAGCCTAGTTAAAAGAAAGTTAGTATTACAAAGTATTAATTATGTATTAGGGACTCACCTAAAAGTGATATAATAGCTCCACATTTCAGCATTATCAAAATTTAGGCAAGCCTTTTCAAAAATAGAAACCACTTCGGCAATCGTTTCTTGCTTTAATTTTAAATGCTCTTCCTCAGTAAGGCCACCAAAGCGTACTCTTTGCCCAAGGGTATTAAATTTGTCCCAAGCCAGAGCATTGTAATACTTCTCGCACGATCCAAATCGGCTTTTAAGATCGTCAAAAATAAATATTTTCACTTCTTTGGTTGTTTCATGGCTGAGCTTGTTGCAAATGTCGATAAAGGAGGAAGCAAATTCAAAGTCGGTAAAAACATTGATCGCATGTTTGTACACAATGCACGCAAGTTGTCCATTCCAAATGGCATCGTGTTCCTGCTTTTCATCCAATTCACTGTTGAAGTATTCACAATGTCAAAAATATGCTGTACAAAAAGTATACAAAAATTACCTCGAGTTGCTGCTGGCGAGAATTTTATACCGCTGTTGAATTTTAGAGCAGTAGAGCAGCTCAAACCGAAAATATTCATGCCAAACCTGCTTGGAATCGGAGTGAAAACTGATGGCCCTCAAGAAGACTTTGCGAGCCGTTTCAGAGGAAGCTCTCTCTTCAAACTCAAACTTGGCGAATTGCAGCCACAGCCAGTCTTTGTTGTGAACTTGCAGCATACGGAAGTAGAGCATCGATACCTGATCGAAGTGGTTTTGATTTTTGTTGAAGTTGATGTAAGACAGCCAAAGCGGAATGTCTGATTTGAACTTGTTTATGGTGAACTCGAAAAGATTCCTTATGCGGTCAAGAACGCTTTTTTCAATTTCATTTTTGTCAATCTGAAAAAGACAAAATTAGATATTGAAACTAAACACTGTACACTTACTTCTAAACCAGACTTTTCTCGGCGAATACGGATCAATTTTAGTAAACTCTCTTCATAGGTTATATACCGCAAAAAATCGTCCTTTGATTTTTTCACCTTCCTCAGTCTGTACTCAAATTCTCGGCGTTTCTTTAGTATCGCCTTAATTTCGTCTGATTCGAAAAGATTGTACTTTTCCAAAACAGTCAACTCTTGAATAGAGCTTTCAAGAACTTGCTGAACAATTTCAGCCATTGTAGATACGGTTGCAGAACCAGAATTGAAGAGAACTGATACAGAAATTAATCAAAACAAAACAAGCCAGGTAATGCGGCTGCAAAACACGTGCTAGNTCGAAAAGATTGTACTTTTCCAAAACAGTCAACTCTTGAATAGAGCTTTCAAGAACTTGCTGAACAATTTCAGCCATTGTAGATACGGTTGCAGAACCAGAATTGACGAGAACTGATACAGAAATTAATCAAAACAAAACAAGCCAGGTGATGCGGCTGCAAAACACGTGCTAACAAAGCGACTATTCACACTCAAGTCGGTTTAGTTTTGTGAAAAGTTGATTTGTGTCGGAATCAGTTCGCGCCATAGGATCAGTCAAGTTTGTGGAACTTATAGAATTTTAAAAGACGTTAGAGGTTAAATTTGGAACAACAACCAGAAAGATAACAGGAGTTTTACAACCATTTTTTGCCATAATCCTTTTAGCATTCGTTGGGTCCTGTCTTCGATCATAAAAATGTCTCAACTAAAAGTTCGAAAACCAAAAGGTAAGTGATGGTTTTGAATGAAAACATTTTTTTAAATTTTTTTACAGTTATTTTGTTTGATATTATCGGCACTGTGATTAAAGAGGGATGGATTGATAAAGTAAGTTTGACTGCAGTAAGCAGTAAACCTTTTAATTATTTGCTTCAAAACAGGTACTTTTTCCATACATTGTATCGACAGTGGATGATTACCTGGCTGAGAACTGGGGAGATCCAGTTCTGGTGCGTGATGTAGAACTGCTTCGAGCGCAATCACAATTAGACGCTGGACCGGCCATCGTGCAACCAGGGCAGTCTGTTGATCGAATTCGCAATTCAGTTGCCGACTACGTGGTGCGTTGTCTTGAGGATACTCGCGAAAGTGAAGCGATTCGCATTTTCCGGTTAGTCTCTCACTTTAATTATTCTACTGTTGCAATTTAATTTTTGTCGTAGTTTTCACATGTTATTTGATGGTTTCAATTCTGACAAGCTCACTACACATGTTTATAGCGATGTTGCACGCTGCCTGGGCAACTGGGCTCAGAGAGATTGCATTGACTTGTACGTTTTTTCCAACGGCTGGTCCTATGCTATGAAGAAATTCCTAAAGAAGACTAACTACGGCGACTTGACGCTGGTCATCAAAGACTTCATTGACACTAACATTGGTCAGCTGAATGATATGCAGACTTATGAAGGCCTCATCTCCCAGTTGGGTCATCCTCCTGAAGATATTCTCTTTTTGACTCACAGTGGGATCGAGGGCGTCGCTGCCCGTCGTGCTGACCTCAGTGTCATCCTAGTGACTACCCATCGCAAAGATCTCGCCAGAGAGCGAAATGAGGATACCAAGTTTTTCGGTTTGCCCTATGTGCGATCATTCAATGAACTCGTCTTTAAACGTGGTGCGGCTCCAGCCTCAACCTTGGGAAATGCCATTGCAATTTCTTCAGCATTTCCAGCTAACCCAAGTATTGGAAGCACGTCTCTCTCAGCATCGTCTGCTGACTCTGATAGCTCTAAGATTCAGGGTATCTCAGCTTTCTTTTCTCCTCAGAAGTTTGATTCTAAAAAAGATGTCACTGGAAAAGACTCAAGTGTCATCAAAGAAACTGGCAAAATGGGTCACTAGATGATATTTTCACAGTTCTAAAATAAACAAAATTCTAAATTAAGAGTGTTAAATAACAATAAAATGTAAACAATTTCATTATTTCTTATTATCAAANACTGGAAAAGACTCAAGTGTCATCAAAGAAACTGGCAAAATGGGTCACTAGATGATATTTTCACAGTTCTAAAATAAACAAAATTCTAAATTAAGTGTGCTAAATCACAATGAAATGTAAACAATTTCATTATTTCTTATTATCAAGTTTTGCTAGTGTTTGAGGCAATCTTTTTACTTTTGAAGAAAAGCACAAATGTCTCAATTGAAAGTTCAAAAACCTAAAGGTATGCTTCAAGGTGTACACGTTTGAGTAAAACAGCAGTACCACATTAGCAATCTTTTCGTCCAGATCGCCCAATGGCTCCTTGGGATGACGCCGCTGGTTTGTCATTTGTGCCACGCGCCAGCAACAGTTTGACTAGCAATGGCCAGATTCCGCACAACTTTCCCGTCATGGAAAGCAAGCCGTCTATTGTCCTCGATGAATGGCTTCCCGCTTTTGTGCGAAAGATTATCAAGAGCGCCAAACAGGATGCTACAAAAGCTTTTAAAGGCCCATCAAAGAAGTAATCTTTGATTCGGTTTCTCAACAGATTAGGCAACTGAATAGAGAAACTGTGCTTGCAGTTTGTTGTAGTTTTAGTACAAAACATTAAAATTATTTTACAAAAAAAATATCATTGATAAGAAAAGCTACTCAATGTCATAGAAGGGAAAACTTTTGCTATCTCTAGCCAATAGCGAGATAGCACTTGACACTGTCTGAGATGAAGCTCTTCACGTACAGATGGTTTGACTCATTCAGCCATTCGACTTTCAACTGAGTCAGTTCTGATATTTTTATTTTGTTTACCGCATTCTTTTGACTTCTTCATTTTTAAAATGTTCTCCAAGCGCTGTTATCCGCATATTCTTCGACGAGGTGTTACCTTAGCAAAGAAACCTCGACTCGAAGAGGCCACAGTTTCAGCATCTATTTACCGCGAATACAGTGCAGAAGAAGAGAATTGCGGAGAAGAGAGTCCCATTGACCAGATCAAATCAAGTTACCATCTTATGCCCCATCTGCCATTGATTGCCCTTCTCGAAAAGCTTCCTCTGGTTGACCTTCTGCCCTTGCGAGCCGTTTGCCAACGCTGGGACGATTTGGCAACCAATATCGTCGTCAAGAAGAGAACTCACCTCTGTTTGACGTCCTACTACAACACTGTTTACGAGAAAGCGACACAATATGACAATGTTCGCGTTCGCATCGATTTGAGTCGTTTTATGAATGTCGATCTAACATCATTTGATTTTATCATTGGAATCGACGAAACTCTATACAGAGAGTGGAGAAATGATAAAATCATTTCTGATAATATCAAGGTAAGATTAGCTCACTGTAAAAAGCATCTAAAAGATTTTCTGATTTTTTTAGATACCTGAACCATGGGGACGATTTCTGTTCTTGAAGCGGCACATGGTAGCTAAAAAGCTAACCAGCACCTTTCCTGCCATCCAAAAGCTTGTCATTTTTGATTGCATGTTTAACGAAGAAGAAATTGAAATAATGCTTACAAGCTGGTGTAGCACATTGACTTCCCTCAAACTGGTCATTGCTGACAGAGATTTTAACTGGACGCCGATATTTGCTGCTTTAAACGAAATGCCACGACTGCAACATGTGTCACTGTTTTCGCCATTCGGTTTCATCAGTCGACCCAAACTGCCATTCCTTTGTCAGCTAAGAAGTTTTCAGTTTACTTTCTTCAAGCCCAATATCAAAAGTCGGCAATGTTGGCTCAGTCATTTGCTCGGACAACTTGATCCGACCGTTCTTCAACAAGTAGACGTTGGCATGTTTACATCACAAAACAATCGAAATTGCTTTTTCCGTTACAACCTCAAGCAACTTTACCTCAGCCATCCGAAAATTGCAGCCAAGCTGAAAAGACTGCAGTTTCCTTCAATTTCTCCCAAGTTTTTCCACTTTATAGTTTCACAGTTTACTTCTGTCAGCTGGCTGGACATTGAACTGAGCAGCGTCAACGATCTGAAGCAGATTAGTCGACTGCGCGGACTCCAGTTCCTTGCTCTTCGAAGTAACAAACGCCCCTTCTCTGACTGTCCTCTAAATCGAGCACTGAACAAGCGGAGTAAACGAACAATGACAGATATTAGACCAATGGTTTCAGTCACAAGGCTCTTACTTCTAGATTTTGAGATTGATGAAAAACTGCTGAGGAAACTTTTTCCCAATGTAATCAAAGTTGAAAGACACCGTCGAGGAGACAACAATGACACAGAATAAGATGGCTGAAACTCATAATGCAAATTTCAATATCTGCTAGGCTAACATTCATTTTTTGCTAATTTTATAATACTGTTTATTTAGACTTATTTACTGTTTTAATTCATGCTCTGTCACTTACTGTAAAACTTTATTACATTTTTAATAAAGCAATGACTTTGTTTTTATTTGGCTATAGTATATCAGGAAATGAAACGTGTTTAGACATAATTTGTTTCGAACTTTAATCTCCATCACCAATTGCTCTTCAGCGCCTCCACAAATCTCTGCAGCTGTGCTTTTGATGAAGCTCTCTGGTCTTCCTGCTGTTGATCATCTCTGGTGAGTAGTGTGATGGCCGCGTAAAAGACCTCCCTCTGCTCGGCACTGGCGTAGGCGGTGTTCTCGGCCACCTCAATGGCTAGGCTCTGCAGTGCACTCACCTCCCGAGCGCGCAGTGCTTCGCTCNTTTGGCTATAGTATATCAGGAAATGAAACGTGTTTAGACATAATTTGTTTCGAACTTTAATCTCCATCACCAATTGCTCTTCAGCGCCTCCACAAATCTCTGCAGCTGTGCTTTTGATGAAGCTCTCTGGTCTTCCTGCTGTTGATCATCTCTGGTGAGTAGTGTGATGGCCGCGTAAAAGACCTCCCTCTGCTCGGCACTGGCGTAGGCGGTGTTCTCGGCCACCTCAATGGCTAGGCTCTGCAGTGCACTCACCTCCCGAGCGCGCAGTGCTTCGCTCTCCGTTCGAGCGGCAAAGGCAAAGTTGGCCAGCTTGACGGTGGCGAACTCCGCAGAACTGTCTCGAAAGAGAAAAACCGCTCTCGGGGCGAGTGCCCCGTGGACGAGTCCTTGTCGGTGGAGGTGGAGGACCGTCTGCGCCAGTTTGCGCACCACCAGCCTTGCCTCCGCCAGTGGAATGTGCTTCTCATTAGGTTTCCAGTGGTCGCTCTTCTTCACCCAGACGCTTTCTGTCTCCTCTGCAGGCGGTGGAAGCAGTGCCAACAAACTGCTCGCAGTTCGACGCAGGTACTCGTCCAGCGTCTCCTCCGGTCGCTCCAGAAAGAGGTACATCTGCAGGGAAGAACGCGAGAGGATCATGAAGACGTCCACCAGACCGCTGCTGACACCACTTTGGGCGGCCTCCTTGGCGCTCACTCGACACAGAAAGTCGAACTCTCGCTTGAAGCCTCCGAGGAGGTCGTGCAGTTGTTTGCGGGACAAGTCGGTACTTGCGGCCACCTGCCGCAAGTCGATGTGCTTCACGAGAACCTTCTTCTCAGCAGTCAACAGCTGGAACTTGTGAGGGTTGCGACGAAAGTAGTGGAAATGCTCGGAAGCTGCTTCAAATCGCTCCATGCTAAAGTGCTTCTCAAAGGTGCACTTGTAGTAGTAGCCTAGCTCGGCTGGCATGCAGTGCAGCGAAAAGTCCATCTTTAGCACGGAAAAGAAGGCTCGGTCAACTTCGGAGATCTTTCCCGGCAGTCCAATCGTTCGACCATAAGGATAAGGCACTATCTGCTCGTCGTTCATCATTTAACTTGAAGTAGGTAAAAGACCAAAAAAGTAGAGGACTTTTCTCTAGATATAAAACAATTTATGAGTTCCAAAAAACTTCAGCTGATTGATAAGAAAAAAGTTCGAAACACAAGTCAGCGTTGCTGATCAATTAACAAAAAA